CTTGGCGAGCGGAAGGGGTACGCAACATCCGCTCTGGGTCGTGCTCGGTTCTGCCCGTGCTGCGTATGAGCCAACATGCTTGCGCTCAGTTCTGCGAGCGTTGCTCGCTATGCCTTGGATCAACTCTGCCCAGCGCTACATCCATGCAGTCGGCCCGTATCATACGGATGCGCTGTAAGGATGCAAGGGCCTCGGAAGGCCATCTCGAAGCTTTTCGAGTGGATGCAAGGGTACCCTTGGGACGGTTGCCCATCCTTACCATGCGGGTCGATTGTAATGGTACGGTTTCAACTGTGTATGTCGGCTTCTGTCTAAGCGCTCGTGTCTTCAACATGGCGACGCGGAGTTGTAAATATTAACGCCTTGCGTGATATGCGATATTTGCGGAACATCTGGATTTCCTGAAAAACTTGGGGGGGAGGCCAGTAATCCCAGTGCATGGCACCAATTGAATGTTTTCCTCGATGTCTAGCCGTGCCATTCGCGAAACGCTCAGAAAATAAAGATGAGCGCACCTGGTTTCCAGAGCGACACACTCCCACCAAGAACTCTGAGGCACGATTCAACAAGTTTGAACAAATCACATCTCGTGCCCTTGCCAGGTCGACGAAGCAGGAGTATGCGGGACGAAAGAAGGGAGGGAGGGAGACTTGAGCGAAAACGGCCATTGGAACGATGGCCGGCGAGCAGGCGGCACCGTGGATCCGAAAACGCGTGGGACATTGAACTGTACCACTCGCTGCCTGGCCATGCCATGCGCGAGGCGCTCAGAAAAGGATGGGCGCACCTATTTCCAGAGCGGCACTCTGCCACCAGCTCTGAGACACGATTAAGAGAGTTGAATCGAATCACATCTCGTGCCCTCGCCAGAACATACACTTATTCCCAAACCAACGAGGTTGTATGGCCGAAGGCCGCGTTCACCTATAACAGAAATACAACGTTGCAGTGACTGTGGGAACTTGACTGAAGAGCCTTTTATACTTCACACAGTATTCGCACCCCCGAGGCCACGATTCCTGGAAAATGATACAGAATTCGCGTCCCCGTGGCCGCGACCCCTTTCAACATACTCAATCTCACGTCCCCAGCGCCACGATCCCTGGTAGATTACGCCGTGTCTGCATCCTCGAAGCCATAAGCCTTCGCAACTTGAGCAATCTTCCACGAGGCCATGGAACTTTTTAGAGTTCGCAGTACCTACGCCACCAAAACCACGATCCCCCGCACATGAAAAACCAGACTTGCATCCTTGAGGCCCTGGCCCCTCGTAACTGGCACGCTGTTCAAACCGCCGCGGCCACGATCCACTGCACACTCTGCAGTGTCCGCGCCCCCGAAAACACGACCCAGCGCACACTGTGCCGTAGTTGCGTCCCCGAGACCACGGCCCCTCGCAGATTACGGAGCACTCGCGCCGCCGAAGCCACCGTTCCCAGGTACATTATGCACTATCTGCGCCCCCCCAAACCACGCCGCCTTGTACATTGCGCCGTGCTTGCGTCCTCGAAGCCATACGTCCATTGAACAAAAATCTGATGTCCGCGTCATCGAGGCCATGGACCGCTGTAAATTACAGGCCACGAGATAGTTGCGCCACCGAGGTCGCGAAATCACTCGCGTCCCCGAGGCCACGAACCCTTTTACATTAAACCAAATTCGTGTCCCCGAGGCCGCAATCCCTAATGCGTTACACAATGTTCGCGTCCTGGAGGCAATCAGCAAGACTCTATTACGCATTGTTTGAGTCACCGAAGACACGATCTCTTCAAATTGCCAATTCGTGACCTCGAGGTCACGACCCTTTTGTAAATTACGCTGCGCTCGCGTCCCCGTTGCTGCGATCCCCGTAAATTGCGCGATGCTCGCGTCCCGAAGCCACGACTGCCAACAAATTCGCAATGGAACCGTCAGAATTCGTGAGATGTTTTCAGCTTTGCTCTTCAAGACGTAACGGACGATACGGGCCCTCCATTCGTGTAGTCGAAGACAGGGAAAGACGGATCATGCTGGGTCGTCAAGAATCCGCCCTCACGGTCGTGCAGAACACCCAGGCCATGGTGAAGCTTGTACTGCCCAGGACAGTTTATGAACAAAATCGCCATGCTGTCTGCCCTGGGCTGGCCGCCTGCTGTCTTCCAGGGGGTCCACGCGGCGACGTCCACAGTCAGGCCGCAATTGCGGCACCAGGACACAAGCTGGAACATGCACATGTTGAAGTCCCCCATGCAGACCTTCACGTCCCATTCCCTGACGTAGGCGACGAACCAGTTGTAGAACTCATGGAGCTTCGTGACGCCCCAGTCTTGGTTGGCCAAGCTGTGGTGGACGTGCACCGCCATGACGTTGAAGGAGCCCCCCAAATGGGTCACGGCCTGGTCCAGGTGGACGCGCACCACCATCGCCCTGGAGTACTTGTTGTGCAGCTTTGGCGCAGGAGCCTCCGCAACTGCGGACTGTTTCTTCTTCTTCTTCGTTTTGGACTTCTCCTGCTTGTGGAAGAGTCTCGCAAAGTCTACGTGTTCAATGTGGCCGCCACTGCGGTCCCTCATGCCAACAAGGAGGGTCCCTGATGGCTCGCCGCCCTTAACGCACAGGTAGTTGTATTGAGTCCGACTCCGAAACCTATCGTCCGCAACTGCGGCTGCACTGTCCCTCGCGTCGTGCTCCCCACTGAGTACCGCGCAGGTCTCGTCGTCGCACTCGCAGAGGGCGATGATCTGGGCAGGGTTCGCGCGGAGCTGCGCCCACTCGTCCGCGCGTTGCGTGGGTCTAGCTGCAGTCCCTCCGAAGTTGGCCACGTAGAAGCCGACCCGTCCCGCTTCGAACTCCGTTTTCTCCTCCCATGCGTCGACAAGAGCTCTTTGTTTTTCCGACAGATTGCTTGTCTCGATGATGGGCACCCGTTTCCAGGGTCTCCGCGACGACAACACTCTCGGCATGTAGGAGTCATGTGCTGCCGCAACTGCGGCTCCCGCACCTCCCCGGGACTCAGCCTCGTCAGCGGAGGCAGCCGAGGACGCGACGGTGCTGTCGCCATCTTGCGTCCGCTGGTCGTCGTCATCATCCGCAACTGCGGCTTCCTCGTCTTTGCCTCCCTCCTCCTCCTCAGCGTTGTGGATGAACACCGTTCTGGCGAATCGAGGTCCACGGTCCATACTCCCTGAGGATGCGCTCGGGCGCGCGGGCGGCCACATGCTTGCGTCTTCGCGTGCGCCACCTCGAGCCACGGTGGCTACGGAAATGGATCGTGAATGGGCATGGGGTCGGATGGAGGGAGGAGACAAAGAGGATTCGAGGAGTGGCAGAAGGAGGGCGAGGACTCAAAGGAACCGAAAGAACAACAAATGGACTGGCGGAGAAGCAGAAGGAGGGCGACGATTGCAAGGGACTGTGAAAGGATTATTTTCACAGCAGCAGGAAGACCGCAACTGCGGTTTTGCCTCATCTCCTGCCCGCGCGGGAGCCGCTTGGAAAAACAACTTCCCTCTGGACTTCCTGTGGGTCCGCAACTGCGGCCTGCATCACGCTAGGGCTGGGATTACCAGCGCCATTTGCCCTCCCAGGGTTCTCACTGTTTCCGAATGCACGAACTGCGACAGCGCCGAACGGTTCCCAGACGCCGCGTCGTTCGCGACTTTTTGCAGCCACCCAGCAAACGTGAGCGGCCATTGCTCCTTGTGCTGCTTGCACATCTCCTCGTCCCAATGCGTCTTGAACCATGCCCACTCCCCCCTCTGCTCGTCTGAGAGGACGCCTTTTCCGCGAGCCAGGCGATCCAGAGCTGCCATCCTGTTTTTCTTGATCTTGAACTCCTCGGGATTCCACTGCGCTAGGGCGTGTTTGTTAGCCAAAGCCGTTTCCACCGCAACTGCGGCCTCCTTCTTTGCCCTCAAGGCGGCCTCGGCCTCTCGAATCTGCTTCTTGAGATCGTGCAACGCCTTCGTCCTGTCGTTCGCTTCCAGAGCCAGGCGCCGCTTTTTCGCCACCACTGCGGCTTCGTGGTCTCGCTGGGCAGTCAACGCTCGTAGGACCTCGTTGTCCTCCCGCGCCAGCTCTCTCAACCGCTTCTTTTGTTTGTGTCGTTGCTGTCGGCAATCCTGCGCTAGTTTCTCCATGCCCACTTGGCGCAGCATATCTTCCGCCTCGCGGAGCGTTTCTGCCAAGGACGTCGCCACTGCCACCTGCTCGGCCGCCTCTGCGTCGACCACGCAGTCCATGGATACCGAGGATCCTTGAGGCCCAGGTGCCGCAACTGCGGCATCGCACTGTTCCGCAAGAGCCTCGGCCCACGAGGCCTCCTCTTGCTCTTCGTCCTCCTCGTGCTCCTCGTGCACCTCCTCCTCCTCCTCCTCCCCGCCCTCCTCATCGCCCTCCTCGTGGCCTGGCTCCTGGCCTAGCGCTTCGTCGCCGAGCTTCTCCAACACGGAATCTGTGGCGTCGTGTTTCTCGTATTCGTGTATGAGACGCAGCACGTCATTGTAGGACCATTTCAAACGTTTCTGCTCGCATTCTTCCCTCACCTCCGCGACTGCGGTGTCCACTTTTGCTCGCAGCCCCCCTGCTTCCCAGAGTTCCGCCGCCTCTCGGCAAATCTCGAGATCTCCTGACTTGTCGAAGGGCGCTCGAATTCCCACTTTCAGGAAACCTTTCGCGGCGTCCAAGTGCAACTGCACATCCTCCAACACTGACAGCATCAAGTCGGCGCAATCGGAACGCCGCAACTGCGGCACGTGCTTCCCCAACGCCATTTGCTGCACCAGCGCTTTGGTCTCGAGGGCAATGTACCGGCGCTTCACGTGCTGGTTCAAGTCCGTGTCCACGGGCTGCGCAACTGCGGTCGTCCCCCCGCCGTGAATGATCAGCACGTAGCCGCGCTGCCAGGCGAGTCTCCGCACAGCGTCTGCTTTGTGCGGGGAATGGTCGTCGGCCATGAGGATGCGCCACTTTCCCCGCAACTGCGGGTCGTCGGGCCAGGCCCGCAAGTGCCGCTGCAAGAA